ACTTTTAAAAGAAAGTTCCCCAACCATCCTTTCCCAGCAAAACCAGGAACAGCCCGTGAATACATCAACCACCCCAAGCATACTAACACAAAAGAATTTTTAGCCATCACCTTACCCTCATTCCCACAATACACCTTAAACACCCCCCACGACACTAACGAAACACGCAACTTCGTAGATGAATACGTTTTAATGCCTACTCTCTCTTGGACCTCATATTATCATTTCACGAACCCTCTTTGCTTACCTTTATCTAACACTCACATCGATATAGAGCGAAATACGGACATGCTATATCGACTCACTACACCACTAACACCTAGACAATTTACTTACGTTGGATATAAAAAATCACTAAAAACACACACTGCACCTAGAGCTAACGAATATACACTCGAATACTATGATCACAACATCATCAGAGCTAACCAAGATCAATTCTTAGACGACGATCGCTTCGCTAATCCACAAATTACCGAGAAATTTTTCATCAAGACACCATATACATTCACACTAAACATCTTCGACCGAAAGTTTGATCACATTATTTCAGAAGCACTAACAGACACACAAGCATACGAAAGTTTTAAAGAACGCTTCCAAATATTTTCACTAACCTTTCATTTCCTTGCACCACACGAAAGAGATTTACACTGCTCACACGATATTATGTTACGCACTAAACAAACCCACACATATAGTTATTATCGCTTCATCCAAAATCACTTTGACCTACACACACCCTCTAGACAACCACACCATCGTTTTCAATTCATTAATTCCAAATACACTTCACCATTTTTCCTAAATTTCACATATTGTATTAAAGACACTAACCTCCATGGTATTCTTCGTAATTATGACCCCATAACCCAAATGTACATCTTCTGTCCCATCACCAAGACCTTCAACGCCGAAGAATCCCGACCCTTCCTTATCCCGCACGAGTTTGTACAACCCATAGAAATCCCAATTTTAGAATTCATCCACAACACTAAATTCAATCACAAATTATATAACTTAATCCAAAACACACCTTATGAGTTTGCAGTTGGCACTGAAGAACTAACCACTATCAAGGCACTTCAATTGCTTTGGCCACTGCTTCAAACTAAAAATATCATCCGCATCTTAGCTAAACTACTAACAACTTCAGAACTAATTCACGACATCTTCCCCCACGGTTTTTTCCCCGACGACTAACAGGTAAGTATGAATTAAATGAATATTACTAACTAATTAAAATATTAAAAAACTCACCATACTTTATTCATGTTTTCTTTAGATTTTTAGCCTTCATCCGACGATCACCTACAAAAACCACAAAAGACAAATAAAAATCGCAAATTTCATCAAACAGATTTCAAAAATTCTATTAATCTCTTACACTTATAAATTTATAAATTTAATACCAATGCAGTAAATTCATTTCTAAAATTTTCCCCCACAAGCAGTAAATCTAATTATGATGAAAATTTGTATCTTAATATTCCCCCATGACTAGCAGTAAATTTCTAAATTCTATGTAGTACATTAAATAAATGCAAATGCAGTACTAACCTTTTGATATTTTCATTCATTCGCACAGAAATTCTATCCACACTCGCACAGCTCGCCCACGAAGAATTGTTTAAAATAATGAATTTCAGTTTCAAGTTTTCACACTCAACAACTCTAACATATAATAACATGTTTCAAACTTTCCTTTAACCCGGTTGGAAAGGAATCATATACTAAACAAAACTAACCAACGCAGCTTACTAAATACCACAAATCATAGAATAACAGCATGACTTAGAAAAAGAAACCAACGGTACCCAAACCGGATTAACCCAGTTTAAAACTGGATAATTTATTCTTTTGAAGACTATTATAAAGTCTAAGAAAGAAATAATAAAACACAAAAAAGTCGAAAGACAAACCCATACCACAAACAATTTGATTTTTGAAAAAAGGACACAACCAACAAAACATAAGTAAGACCACAACAAACTCAACATAAAACGTTGTCACATAACAGGACCCCTCACAAAAACCGCATGAAATCATACTCCCACTCCTGGCCTAACCCACCAGGAAGGACGTCCTGAGCATGCTCTATAGCCGGCCTAACCCACCGCGCTACATCCACGCTTTGTGACCACACCACTATTTTTAATAAGAGCTACTCAAGTGTGAGTAACTCTTCAAAATAACCGAACTAAAACAAAAAGCTTTTGTGAAAACAACTAACTAAAATCATTATTAAAAAATATTAAACTAATAAAAGTTTTATAAAATGTAAAATCACATGATGCAATACATAGATCAGAATGCAACACCAAGGACGAACATCAAAAGACAAGACGACCCCACTACACTCGAGAGAGAATGACCAACTACAATCGATATGCCGCTCACAATCACAACTCAAAGGATTTAGAGTACGACTTGACCTCGCAGAAAAGGATTTCATTGAACTAGACCAATGACCACCTCGATGTTCAAGTATACGTACAGATCCGAGTAACCAGGCATCCCCTCCACGCACAATCTCCACGCCATTCCCAAACTAGATCATACACAAAAGAAGTTCTCCACGCAGAACAGAAAAACCTGATATAGCAAACCATTCTGAAATCAGATTTGAGTTTGTTGCGAAGACTTAGTCGTTGTCATTAGAAGACACAACGTCTTATGTCTCTAACTCCAGCTTCCTGGAACTTCTTTAACAAAAAGGAAACAGAAGAAATAAGATGTTCGCCAAACACCAACTTCCATCATCCATCCTTCGAATTGCAAAAGAACTATTCTAAAAAACTCTGTAAAACCCGGATGGGTGGAACCTGATCTAAACTACATTTTATGATTGGATAAATTAAATGTTTTACCAATGTAAAGTATTTAATATTAACCAATCATGATCCATCTAACTAACAACCCACTTATTTGTAAGTGCTGAAGTTACTTGTAATTTCAGCACCAGAGAGATTTGAATTTAACTTAGAAATTAGTTGGACTCTCCCGAGCACTTCAGCAGCCGCAATAAACCAGTATACCCTAGATCTATTGAGCCTAGCAGAGACTAGTTAAACAACCTGAGACTAGATAGTATAAGAGTAAGATTAGGATCGGTATTAGACTAAGAAGTTGCACGAATCTATCCGGCCGAAAATAAGATAGCGTGACGAGCAGACGGTGTACCCTATCCGAAATTACTCTATGAGTTACACTTCGGTCCTAACTCAAATCTCTAAACCCCCATAACTTTACAAAAAATTATCAGAGGTGAAATATCTTTTAAAATTTAAGCTCAGGACAACCATAGCTTACGAATGATGCAAACAATTTCCGTCAAAAATTTCTAGTTAAAAAGTCAAAATTTGTCTGAAGAAAAAAAACCTACGAGCACAAACATTCCTTTACTTTCGCTACGAAAATCGGAACAATAACATTTTTATATTGATCTATGGAATAAATTCTTTTAAGGGCTAGTCATACAATCAGGGGGATTTAGGGGGACCCCTGTCGATCCAAAAAATCCCCCATTTTTACTATTTTGAGATATACATTTTTGGCTGACAGACACTAAAATTTTTGTTAAGGTGCCTAAAGGCGCTTATATTGAATAGTTTTGAGGGGAAAGCGCGCAATGAAAAACTTCCATAAGTGCCTAAAAACGCCTTTTTTGAGTTTTTTTAAATTTTAACTGCGGCGCAGCTATTTTTGCCAAAAGAGGGTCTTTGCAGTACCCTAACAGAGCTCGGACAATCAATTTGGACGATCTAAAGAAGATGTATTCAGGGACGACCCAATTAGGACGCCCCTGCATACGATTAGATTTGCGGAAAGAATGCTAGTCATGCTCTATTTTTATCTATTTTCATTGAATTGGAATCGTGTGTGAGCATTTTTTCTCCATATGACTAGCTAAATTGTACTTATGTAACATTGTTTCATATTACGTCAGAAAGTGAGGCATGCATGTGTTAAAAAACAAACCCAACAAGCTGTCAGACGCTAGACAAACTTGTATCCAACAACTGAGACGAATTAAAGAGAAATAGGAAAATTCAGGACTTCTGGGAAAATTCAGGAAAATTCAGAATACTAATTTTGAGGGGGGAGCGCGCACCGAAAAAACGCCATTTTTTGGTCAAAATTTTCCAAAGAGTGCCTAAAAACGCCTTTTTTGACTTTTTTTCAAAATTCTGCCTGCATCGCAGAAAATTTGCCCAAAATAGGGAATAAACCGTGCTTAGGGAGAAATCCAAAAATCAATTCGGTCGACCTAAAAAAAGGACGACAAAATTTTCGAAAAATTTCGATTTTTTTTTTGAAAATCCGCCCCCCCCCCCCTCGAGGAAATCCTAGATCCGCACCTGCCCCAATTTCTTGTTTTTTTCACAAATTTTCACTAGATATTTAATTTATATGATTACCATCTGACTAACAAAAACGAACAAAAAATAATATATGGAGGTAAATTTGTCCAACTATGATTTGTTGTTTTTTTTGTTAGAAAAACTTTCAAACGATTTTTAGAATGGTCTCTAAAGCATTGTAATAACTTGGGAATTGCAAACTAAATAGAACACGCAGTGAAATCGAGCATTCTAAATTCGCTGAAAATATACAATTTTCCTTTTTTTTGCCAAGGAAACAAACAGTTCCTCTTCTAAAAAATTAGTCAGCGATGTCAGTTAAAGTGCTTTTTACTGTTTTCAGAAGAATTTTGTATAGAACTTTGTTTTCATAGAAAGAGCTGTTTATGCAACGACGTTTGATTTGTGTGCTGAAGATATTTATTTGCGAGCAAAGTATTTCAAAAGCTTCGTTTTTACCAGGAAACTGCTTTTACGATAATGACTAAATGAATACTTTGAGATTTTGTGGGAAAAGTTAATTGCAACATATGAATGGTTATTCTCCATAAAAACCGTATATGGCTGTGAACGGTTGGCGTTATCTTCTGCGGTGGTTAAACTGGTATATTTTTTTTCACTGAAAATTTTTGTTAGGTCGAAGATGTTATCAAATACAAAGATGAGCGAATGAAAGAGTGCAAGAGTGTTCTGCTTGACTACTGCACGGCATTCATATGCATCAAAAATTTCATGTGAGTTTAAAAAGAAATAAACTGAAAAAATTGAGACTAAAAAGCAGAACAGCTGTTTCGTTGAATTATTCAGTTAATGAACGATTTCACAGGTTAGGTTTGCGTTTGAAAAACCAACCGAAACCTTGATCGCATGTTTTTTAGGAAATTCTAAACGAAGTGCTGGTTTGCTAAAATGTATATTATAAAACAACTTAAGACCAAAAATTTAGCTTTCACGGTTTTTTGCTTTGAATCATTTATCTAACAATTGGTTTTTTAATCCCTATTGCATCAGTTTTCTGGTTACGTCCGTTATAGAATTAATTTTTTTTTTTGTCTTTTTTAAGTACAATTGAATTTCATTGACACTAAATTTTTATCAAAGTCAGCAATTTCTCCAATTTTTCCTTTTCAAAGCAGTTATCTAAATTTTAGGTTTGATGCAGCATCTTACGCAATCAAAGATATCGAAGCAGAACTGTTTATTAGCATCCGTTTACCTAATTGGCCAGGAGAGACCCTTAACATTGACATCTTGCGATTTAACAAAATCAGTTGCAATGAAGTAAGTATGAGTTAGTGGCTAATAAAAGTAGAACACACTACAACACTTCAAAAAACTAATTTTTTAACTCCTTTTTTGCGCATAAATTTTGCATTAACATGCGCTGTACAAGTGTCAAGTCCAAAAATTGCCTTGCTTACAAAATTTTCATTAGTTTTCTCAGATCTGAAAAAAAGTTTAAAAAAAGTTTTTAAAAAAGCAACCAAAAATAAACACATCAAAACTTAATTTTAAAAAAATTACGACAAAATCCAATTAGAAAAGTAACACTTTCTTAATTCACAGCCGCAACATCAAAACTATAATTCTGTGATTTAGTCAAGAGAATCCAAACTGACCGCCTTGCAACAAGTGAAGGAGAGATGTTTGAAACCCCCTCCTCCTTTGTTTATTTGTGCCTACCCTAATTGTTCCCTGGCTAGAAGGGAAGTGTACCAGGGAGACCCTCTGACGTCACAGTTCGAGAGTGTTTACAGTTTGGAGTGCAGTGAGAAGTGTCTACTTGGATACCATGGTGTTTGCTGGAAGAAAGTTGAAAAGGGTGAAGAAAAGTTGGTAGGTTCGCCCCGCTAAGTCAAGTTTTTAGAAATTTTAAAACATTTATTTGAGTAAAAGATCATTGGAAGTGTGCTTAAAAAGTATAAAATTGGTTACTTGTAGATTTAGGGGGGAAAGATGTCTTAAGTTCCCACAGAAACCTTCAGAAATCCTTTTTGGTCGACCAACAGCACTAAAATCCTGAAACCGAAACCTTCCGATAAGTTCTTGGCCCAACTATTTTTTATACAGCTTACTTTTATACTTAATTATACATAATTAGCTTACTTTTTTATACATAATTTTTCAAACCTAGCGTCTCTTAAAATCTCTTTCTTAGCTCTTTCGAAGAAGGTGCAAAACAGCAGCCTGCGCCGGTTGCATTCAGTCAGTTTCAATCATAGATCCCACAACTGGAAAAGTAGAATCCAAAATAGAGGCCGAGCAAAATGAAGACGCAGAACCAAAACTAGATCATAACACTTCTCAGTCTAAGAAAAAGCGGAACCGGAAAACTAGAATGAAACATGATGTAGACCAGCTGAAAACGAAAAAAGTTTTCCAGACGAATCCGAACGAATCCGAAATGAAGAGTCCGAACGAACCTCATTCGGAGATTCACTTAAATCCATCGGGTGGCGCCATTCATGTAAGTCGTAGAAGATCTGATGATCTTTTCAAGGAATACTTGGTCGAATAACAGATCAATTGATTTATGGCTTGTTGTTCCTACCATTGAAAATGGGGAAGAACTTAGTATTTGTGTGTGTTTTAATTTTTTCTTTTTTTTTGTTTTCCGAGAAAAATCAACCACCACAAATAATCATCGCACTGGGTTGAGTTATATATCATATTGAAGCCCTTTCAGTAGTGATTCGAACAAGTTTAAAAAAATATATTAAAATATTTTCAAGAAAAACCGGTGTGATTTTTTTGAATTTTTTTTCTAGTTTCGAGCCAAAAAACTGAGCGTCCCGGGTTACAATAGCTTAATTGTGCTTAATTCAAGCCGCAAAAACTGAATTTTAATCGAGTTATTTCACTCGATTTTTTAAGCGCGTTTCGGGAATCAAAATCTTCCAACATTAGAAAAAAACTGTTTTACAATTGGTACTTGCACATTAACCGGCTATCCTTATTTTTATATAAATTTGGCTAGAAAATCTTTAATTGACGTTGTCTTTGATTAAGAATTTGCTTTAAAATATTGTTTTTGCAAATATCCCTATGTTAAATCGTTTATTTGATTGCCTAATGTTCAAATAAAGCCTTAAAAAAGCCCTAGTTTCCGGTTTCTTTTCTCTTGTCACAGTTGCAAACGGAATACATTTTTTGCGGATTGGGTTCTTACAGGCGATCGCTAACTTCAGAACCTCGTATCCTGTGGAAAGATTGGGCACAAAAATTGGGCACAAGATTATTGTGAAAAATGATATTGATATAGGAAACTAATTTCTCCAATGAAAAGACACCGAAAGCTTGAAGTTCTTTTCGCCGGGAAGACAATGCAGATATATGTTATATTAAGGCTGGGAATACAAGCAAGGATCCGAGGGGCTAAAAAATCCAATCAAAGGATGGTAGGGTTTTTGACTGAGAGTGGGCTACAAGTTCTCCGGATTCCCCAGTTTTATGAACTTCTTAGCAATTATTAAGGGTGTAAAACATCTTATCTAGACATTACCTTTAGGTACAGATAGATATATTTATTACTCCAAAACTCAAAAACTTATCTCGATAAACTTAAATAATCTTGTGATTAATTATTATCTGCTCTCAACTTGAAAAAAAATTTAAATGACTTTTAATTAAGAGTAGAATTAATCATAAAGGCATCCCAAAAATCATACTTGATTCCCCAAAATATTTGAGATTCCAAATGTACCGACATTGACATACCTGCGAGGAGCTAGGATTGGCTTTTCAAAAAAAAGGTCACGATTTCTTTGTTTCCTGGCATGACTGAAAGAAAGACGTTTGAAATCAAAGTGGCAATGAAATCAGAAGAAACCAGTCTAGTGGTTATAAATTGGTGGTTATAAGAATGGCGAATTCAAAGCAGAAGTAATTCAATTGTTTCGAGTGTTTGCCACTAAAAAAAGCTGTATGTTTTCCGCTAAACCGAAGTCTTTTAATCATGCAAGAGTTCTCGCAGTGTGAGTATGAGTACCGCAAATCAAATCAAAGCATGTAAAAGAAATAAATTATCTTCTGCGATTATCTTTTTACAGAAGATATAAGTATCGATATTTGGACTTGGAAAAGACATCAATAAAGATACAAAATAATCATGGCTTTCTTTTAATCAAATATCTTTTTTACATTCCTAGTTTCATGGTTATTACTTGCAGCAGTAAATTGAATCAGAGTTGAGTCTTTTTTGATGACGGATAAAGGGCCACTGATCAGGGACAAAACCAGCGATGTTAGATTTCTGAAAATCGCTGAGCCAATGAGAAATATCTATGATACGTGAGCCCGTGTAGCTGTAGAGGGGTCTACAAGATTGGTACATTTTTCTCGATTTCCGAGCAACGAGTCTTAAAACGGTGAAGAACAATCATCATTAGCACATAGTGATTACCAAAACTTGTTTGAGGTGCAGGCTAGTGTGCCGTTGGAGGCTCGAGAGCAACAAGCAGAGGAACACATAGGAAGAGAAGGCAGCTATCATGGTAGAACACTTGAAGACTACGAATAAAATCGGAAACCATGGAAGCATGATTATCGAATAAACGTGGCGTGGGAAACCTAGGTTGAAATCGTAGAGGTACACAGAACTGTTTCATAACTCATAACTCTTAAATCAGTGCTGCAAACAAACCGATCAGGAAAAAGTGGCCACTGATCAGGGCCTGAACCTGAAAAAGCAAAGATTATCTCTGCGACGTCAACCATTTTGTAAAAAAAAATCAATATAAAAAAAACTTTCAAATTTCAGTAATCTAGCTGCAGTATTTGACCAGTATTTATCTTCAAGTTTACAATTAACCTTTAATTGCACTTTTTGGTACTTTCAGTACGCGAGCTCGAGATGCACAAGGGGAAAGCATACCTGTCATAGATATAGTTCTTGCATTCATCGTGACTGTTTCGGGTAGACCTGTCATAGATAATTATCGCTGGATCAACGGTTTATCAGAAATCCAACTTGCTGATTTGGTAATTGATCAGTGGCCACTTATCCATGATCAGGAAAGTATCAGCTCCGGTTCAAAATTGAAGTTTTAGGGAAAGATCAGCGCTAATTCATGGATTAAAAAAAAACTGACTACAGAAACCCTGAAAATCTCTAATTATTTAGTGAACCTCAGATAATTTAGACTAGAATGGCAATTTGAAATCACTAAATTTGTTTTGTCTGTTAATTATTTTCGTCAGTTTTTGCCTGATTGATGTTTCCTTGATCGTGATTATAATCTCTTGGAAAATATCACGATTATAATCAATTATAAATACTTTAAACACCTAATTTTGGCAATTATAATCAATTATAATTGTCAGAAAAGCATCATAATAAACCGTTATAATCAATTACTTACGCCTAAACTTGGATGCGGGAATTTTACTATATCCCGCAGTAATTTTTGGTTTTGCAAAAACTTTAATTTAAAACAATCGGAAATAAATTCAAATGGCACAATTTTGTACAATTTTTCAACTAAAGTTTTGATATTCTACAGACCTTGGGGAATCTACTTTGCTGCAGTAGAACAATTTTTTTTTACAAAAATTGGTGTCGCAGGCTTTTAAATGTGGCCATCTGGCGTTTCGTCTCAGAGATACCACCATGGTAGCATTCAAAGCCATACATGGATAAAATCTTTTTCTAAAGGTAAATCTCGAAAACAAAAATAACTTTCATTAGTTTTCACTGTATTTGGCAAATGTTTAGCTAAAATGGTTTATTTTTTTACTGAAGTCAAGACACGTAACAAAAATTGAAAATCAATTGGAAGTTTTGAAGGTTTAAATTCAGCTCTGATGCAGGGTTCTATCGTGACAAATTCATCCATGATTATAGCTGAAAACCCTGAAGTAACCCTGCGTCATCGCTAAAACATTCATAAAACTGGAACATCTCTGAACCAGTGATTGCTATTTTTGACAGGTCAACCCGGGTAGATTTATAGTTTGTAAACACATCAAGTACATCACGATGCCATATTTGAATTCGGAAAATAATTGGTTACTTTATTATGTTAATAGAGTTTTCGACTGACTAAAGAAGTAAAATGTTGAAATGTCATTTAGATGTGAAGAGGTTGCTTTTTTAACAATGTTGTTCAAGGTTTCCACCTGGTTCGCAATTGGTACCAATCGTCAACCATTCATTCAGTTGCCGTTAGCTTAGAGTTAGATTACAGTCCTATTTTAGTCTTCTTAATTGCAGCTGTAGTTTAAGGATTTTTTCCTAATAAAGTACGAAGGAGTCAATTGATATAAAAATTTTCGAGCTTCCGTGAGATATTCGGAAAAATTTTAGTTGAGTCAAAATTTATGAGTTTTTATAAGATTTGATTATTTTAAATTACTTCAGTTAATTATTCATCCCACCGCTAAGAAAAACAAGAATAGACTTTTACTGTACAAGTAGCACAGAAGGTTTTAAAGATCGTAAATTTTGATAAATGAGCTTTAATATTTTTTAATTTATAGAAATGTAAATTTTTGTCGATTTTTGGAACGAAAAGCAACCATAATTGAAAAAACGGCTGACAAAGGGCTTATTACAAATCGGCGTATTACTGCAATTCTTGCTTTTGTGCAAAACAAAAAAAAGTTTTGTGGTCGGAACAATTTGTTTGGTCATTATTCTTTTTTAGAATTTTTCAACTCCAAACTAAATAGAATTTAAAAAAAACAATAAAAAAGAAACCCAACTTTTATAACTTTGTTTCAGAAACGCAAGGGGAAACACAGCAATCTAGAGCCACAATTACCAAATATTTCGAACTCGTTCGCAGTTCTGTAAGTGATTCAAAGTTTGCTCTACTATTTCAGTCGGGTCAGTAAATTCCGTTCGATATCCAGCATAGCTATTTTTTTTTGCTTTAGTTCAGAAGACTATGTGCCAAAAGCATCGCCCGAAAAAACAGTCTATAAATCAAACGAAACATACAAGAATGAAATAAAATCACAAGGAGTTTTCGGTAAAAGTTTCAGTCGAAATGTACCCAATTTGGACAGAGATGCGACAATGAAGAATGTTTATACGTTCAACGTTAGGTAAGCTGACTCTTTTTTTTTGGTTCATGCAAACCTAAAATATATGACATTTAGGCAACACAAACTTGTTTAGACAAAAAATGTTTTGAATCAGTTCAAAACCGGATTTAAGAGGGGGGGGGTTAAAAAGTCCACCTTCTTCCCACCCGGCTTCCGACCCCCTGCCACCTATATGAGTTTCGTACCCGCACCGGCCAAAGTGTTCCCCTTTGATGTTTTTTACGAGATCCATTATTACCGGTCGATGGTAAAAGATTTTTGAAGGCGCCTTTTTTCAAAATCTACTAAATTTGCGGAAGATAAGCATTCCAAAAAACCACTAAAATTTGTCCAAAAATGGCATTTTAGTATTTAATCAAACAGTTCAACTCTAAAAACTAAATTGGTTGACTTGGAGAGAGATTAAATTTTTGTCGAATTTCCTTAAGTCGAACTGCTCTCTAAAACACAAAAAAGATTCAGTTCTGAAAAATAAAACTAAAACGACGTTTTAGGGGATTTTGGAAGGTTTAATGGGACCCTTATTTTTTCTACTGGAGCGGGAAAGAGTCCATAGTCGTCCACCCCCCCCCCCCCCCCCTCAATCCGTTGGTGTTAAATGATATTTTTATTTTAAAAAATTAGAAGCATCTTTTTAGCGAAGTTTCTGCGAAGGTTTGCAAGGAAAAAAAAACACTTTTTATCTTAAAAAGTAACTAGAAATAAAATGGAGCTTGAAATTGTTTTATCCGTAAGCGCGTACAATTTTTTTCTCCGGAAGCCATAATTGATTTTTACCTAATTAATCACTCAGGTTTTGTTTCAACCACTGCTAATTATTATCTGACTGGAGAAAAACCAAACATAAAATTTCGCAGTACTGTATCATTGCTGAATAATCAATGAAAAGATAATGAGCAAATTAATTTACTTCTTACAAAAAAAAAATTTCCTACCGAAATGCGAAACCTGATGATGCCTCTGTTACTTATAGCATTTTGTAACTCTGCACCAATGAGGCTTATTTTCTTCATTGTTTTGCGAAAGACATTCGAAGTGATAGGCGTGAGCATACTTTTCTGTGACAAAAAAACGTGCGTTAAAAACAAAACTTCTTTTTTTTTCGTATTTCTTTGTTATTCTGCAAAACTTTTGGTAATCTTGGTAGTTTCGATAAATCACAATTTGTTGATATTTCAGCACCACACGGTTTAATTACGTTGAAACTCTCAAGCATATATTGCTCTGAGTTGTTTTTTGTTTCAATTTTCATAGAAAATGAAAAATATATGTGCCTAGGGTGGCCTGGGAAAAACCAATTTCTAAATAAAAAACGTACCGTGTGGGGTATCGCTCCCATGAATTTTGTGTTTCCACCGGGAACGTTCACACTCTATATTAGCCTGAAACTATTGTGGCTCTAAAGCGAGTCCATCTAAACAGCTCGTTTGATGCTGAAAACGAAAGCTATTTATTTATGCGTGGCGTACAATCTGCACTACAAAATTGACCCAAAAGCATTATAGACAAGCTAATTGGTCGCATTAATTTCATATATGATTCAAGTTTTCACACTTGTTGTTTGATATTTGCAGCTCAATTTTCCTAGCTTTCAAAAAATCTTCAGGGTTTTCAGAGCTTTGGAACGTTTAATGCTTTCGCCTGATATAAGAGCAGTCTTGTTTCTGATCTATGTTACATTACTTGATTTCTAAAAGATGTATGATTAATGCTGCAGCAGTTTTCATTTGCTCTGCGCCGTCAATCTTGAAGTTTTTAAACAGGTTAAAAAAACAGATTTTCTCTTCCAAAAATTTCACCTACACTTTCTGCAAAAAAAACGTTGACTGGGCATAATTGATTGTATGATTGATTTCGAAGCTACCCTTGAAAAGTTTGGTTCAACAAAACCCAATCTTGGACTCAAATTTTTGATAAAAACACAAGTTCCTCAAAAAATTAAACATATTAACTGCGAGTCCTAATCTTATGAGCGTCTTCTTCCGCGACAAAGATTTGTGGGTAATTTCTTGTATTAATTTTATGTAAAATTTCTGGGTATTTGATTGATTATTGTGGCAATTTTGAGATTGTAAAAAGATTTCTCGAGAATGTACAAACTGTTTGATTTCCCTTTTTTCGATATGATAATTTTTTCTGTTCATAAAATCGAATACTTTTGTCGATGTGAACTGTTTATTTTCTTTCAACCCTCCCTAATTTTTATTGTTCGTCGTCCGCCCCTTAGTTAACATCACCCACCGCACACCAAACCCCCCCCCCCCCCACGCCATGTTTACACACCAACCCCTCCCCCACATTCATTTAGGAGAGCGGGAAGAACGCAAACATAGAAGGCGGTGAGTGGGGCGATTGTGTAACAACAGAGTAATCAACTCAAATTTAAACTGATTTTGAACTATAAATAGCACTCAAAAAGAGATAAAAATGGATGAAAATCGTTTATAGTCGAATAAAACTTTATTTACCCAAAAGTTAGAAAACGATAACCCCAATTTTCAGAAATTTGGTATCATTTTTCCTCTTTTACGAAAAAATGAGCCCGAATTTCTGCAGATGAATTTTTTTAAGGAGAACAATCTCTATAATCTCTATTAGAAATTTTGCTCATTTGTCTGCTTTTCACTGTTAATTGCTCTCATTCATTTTCCTATACATTGGGTTCATTCAGCAGAACCGTGAAAAAAAATTAACTTCAAGACCAATTTGGTCGTGAGTTGTCATTCTAGACCCGCATTTAACTAATTCACCAAAAATTTAAATCTATTTTTTCTAGAGTCAGGCCTTAACTGAACTTGTTGTTTTGCTTAGCTCTAACCAGCGCAACAGAACCCGATCAGCTGGCCCATATTCGAAGATCCACCCGAACGACAGAATAACTTATCTGAGAAAGAAAACTACAGCCACTATAACAAATACGATTTCTTCGTCAACAAAAAAGCGATGGCCGTCAATTGAATCAACGATGAATCTGCAGCAATGCGAAACAGAGTCAATGACTTCAGGTGGAAGACGCTCCAGCTTCGCTAACGACAACATGTTCACTAATCGCCCTAAAGCTCAAGGACGAGACATTTTTGACGTCATACGAAGCCGACGTAATCAGCTGCAGAGTCATTCGACAACTAACATCCATGCATATCAAAAAATGAACAACAACCAGAATTAAACGCGCGTCGACTAGCAATTCGGACATATATAATTTGAAACAATTTAATATTACGAATCAGCGAGAAGTTTCTCAAACGAGGAATGAAAGTTCAAGGGTCAGTTGTTGTGTGCAAAACGAGACTAAAGAAATATAGACAGCGAAAAATCAGTTCTCACGTAGGTTTTGAAGGAGATTAAATGGAAAAAAAACAATTTTAGTAGGATGGTTATTTGCAAGAAAAAATATCTTTTAGGAGACAAATGAACGTTAAAACTTATTAACGCCTTATGGAAAACAGATCTTGATGTCCTTGATGAAAATAATTTGTACGCTTTTTTTTCTATTTTTTTTTAAATTAAACCACTTAACTGAAAGCAGATCATACCAAGGATGATTAAAGGGAAGGCAGACGTCCACCTCGTCCCAAGGAAAAAGACATCTTATCACTCAAAAGGCATTTCTTTAGGACATCCATTTTCGGCTGGCTAACCTTAAATTAGCTCTAGAGGAGCCTTTGCGGCTTCAATTTAACAAGAATTTTTCAGCGGTAAATGGATGACCTAAAAAATTGATACTTGAAAAGCATGATGATGACCATTACGAGGCCAAACTGTGCACTGGATAGGCGCTCAATATTGCGTCTTTATAATCCTGGATTCAAGAGACAAGTCCTTAAACATGCTGAAATTTTGTCTGAACAATCAAAGGAAAAAAATACAAAAAGGAGCGTTTTTATTGCGGAATTCGATTACAATTTAAAAAGGAACAGTTTGGCCTTGTAATGACACTTCTACTCTCACTTCTGATGTATATTGAATAACTAGTTTTTGTAAGAAGTCAAAGTTTATATATTTTTTATTTTTGAGCTATTTGAACAGCTAATCTTCGTAAATAATCGAAAAAATATATTTTTTATTTTAAAACTAATTTAAAAAAACTAGTCTCCGAAAGAAATCAAAAAACAACATAGTTTTTTCTGTGCTAATTTGAAAAGTTAGTCTTCGAGAGAAATAAAATCTAGAGAAAGGAAGCCTTCAAAAGCTGTATTTCCATGCTATTTAAAACTGAATACATTTTTTTCACAATGGGAACGATTCATCCAACTATTTTTATTGAGCCATTCCTTTCCGGCATTTTTCGGGAAAATTTTTGAAATTGAAGAAAACGCAAAATATATTAAAACTGGAAAAGTCTTGTGATCTGATTTTTATAGTACTCTAATTTAATCAATTTAATGACAGTTCTTAGCTTGACCTAATCCACTCGTAATCCACTCCTTTGGAATGATCTTGATCACTTTTTAACTAAGTTTTTCAAAAAGGATCAAGTAATTCACATAATTTTACAGTTCTTCTTATTCTTATGGGTTTTTCTGCATCACTGAAAATTCTATTCTTGAAAAGCATGATGATGACCTCAACAAAACCAAACTGTGCACTGTATAGGCACTCAACTTGGTGTCTGTATGTTCCTGGATTCCAGAGACAAGTCTTTAAACATGTTAAATTTTTGTCTGACTAATCATAGGAAAAGAAAGTTCAAAAACAAACAAGCTGACCGTCGTGTTTAATCCGCTAACAATTCACAAGAGGCACAATTTGGCATCGTAATGGCACTTCTACTCTAACTTCTGATCTAATTCGAACCGCTAGTTTTTGTAAAAAAAATCAAAAGTTATATATTTCTATTTCTGAGCTGATATGAACAGCTAGCTTTCATAAGAAATCGAAGACATATAATATAAACTTTTGTTTCAAAATTATTTGAAAAGTTAGAAATCAAAAACAAAATACATCCTTAATTCTCTGCTAATTTGAAAAGCTCTAGTCATCGGATGAAATGAAAAACATCTAGAGAAAAGAATCCTTCAAAAGCTGTTTTTTCATGTTTAACGAAATAATTACTTTTTTCTATGAATTATCAAGAAGCTCCCCTTCGACCATGAGAACGATCTATCCAACAGTTTTTAATGAACTGTTTCCCTCAGAATGTTTTACATTGCCTTTTTAAATTGAATAAAACGCTAAAGGTTTTAAAACAGGAAATTTGTTGTGATCTGATTTTAGAGTATTCTAATTTAATCAATTTAATGGCAAGTCGTAACACAATCCACTACTTGCAGTGATCTTGCTAATTTTTCATCTTTGTTTTAATATTTAAGTGATTTACTTTTTTAACAATTCTCCTCATTCTCCTAAATAGACATAGATATAGCAATAATTCATTTTATCATGGCGCAGCCAAGCAATAACGAAACGAGCAAAAAAAGATTCCATAATTATAGCAAAACCCTTCAATCAACTCCGCAACTCCTTGATATGATTGGAGGGATATGTTCCAATTAGTAGTAATTGCTAAAGAGAATATAGATTTTGATCTATGCTATATTCAGTAGAAATAAACTCTGCTACTCCACCTATCTTAGTAAATGCCCCAAATGGCAACGAAACCGAAAGACAGAAAAACGACATATAAAAAAACATTGACAGAACAAAGACGTTACAATGACAAAAAATACAGCTTCTCAAAAAGCAGAACTCAGGGATTTTAACGGAACCCATCTAGAGGACGCCAGCGAAAAACTAAAATTTGTTTTGTATTTGTCCATCGGAACAGAAAGTTAAAAAAATTTAGTCAAAAAATCACAAAAATCAAGGTTTTACACCTTTTATTTAAAGAATTTTGAAAATTTCAAGGAAGAGCTTTCGTCAGAATGAAAAACATAACATTCGAATGTCCCAAGATCAATAATAGGAAACGAAAAAACAAAAAAACTCTAGAACATTTTTAAGGAGTAAAAATGCAGAGAAATGCGACATATCCAGTGGAGACGAAGAATGGATACAACACATTTCAATAAAAAATATGAAAAATTAGGGTATCTAGAGGAAACTGCCTAGAGAAACTTACCTCTTTTGGAAGCATTGAACATAAACCACATAGACGAGAAAAGAATTAGCAATCATCTGAAATTGACTAACAACTTCAAAAAACCTGGTAACATCGTACATACCAACATCAAAAGACATATTAATGTCAAGAGAGAACCCAATAGGGATTGAATGAGGAAAGTGATTTATAATTTGCAGTGGATTTAAGTTCACTTACAAGTCTGTGCAGCTAAAAACGTGACTTGCTAAAACTGTAAGTACATAGGACATGTCACAAAAAGTTGTAAATTGAATCACAAAAGGATATAAATTGTAAATAGCCAAGTTTTAAAGAGCACAGATGATGAAAAAACTTTAGGTTTCAATGGTGTAAACTTAGATCACGCACACTGAGAATGTTGCAAAGTTATTTTTGCGTGTTCCAAAGAAGTCAAAGTGACAATGATAATTATCCTGCGTTAAGTTTTACAGCTAATTACGGCAAAAACGGAAACGAAGCAAAAATATATTAAGTGGTACCTGTGTAACGAAACAATTAAGTAGATTCCGCGAGCACTGTTACTCTCAAAATGAAAAACATCCTTCATGAATTAAAATTGAGAAACCCTTACGTCAAAATACATCCAGTGAATCAATCAACCAAGGACTTATTTTCTGGATTCATCGACACAGCGATCAAGATTAATGGTAGAATCACAGTTCCAATACTTTCGAAAGGATGGTACATTGAAAGCTGCTTCTTTTTTCTTACAGAAAATCACGAAAAAATTATCCTACGCAAGGATAACCTAAAAAAAAGTCGAAAAAGAAGTAGCCCAGAAAACTATCCCTAACACATCTCTCCGAGACTTGGTAATCACGTTAACTCTATGAGACCCTCCTCAAACGATAACACAGAGAAAGTTTTTAACAATTTCAAAGAAACATTCCTTCAAAAAACCAAGAACCAATTGAAAATATCACACTTTCACAAGCCATTATAACCCATCCACTTAAAGGGGAGAAGAGTCCTGGTCCACTTATTAGATTTATTCAAAGACAAACTTCTTAGATTAAAATCCGAGGGACCCTTCAAAAAACTTGAGAATTGCGACAAAGATTAATTTATCTGCCCTTTCGTCATATCTTGCAAAAAAGACACATCAATTAAAATCGCCTCAACATCGAACTTCATAAGCAAGCACATTTTTACAGACAAATATCAAATGCTCCTTATTCACGAGCCAGTAGATGAAGTCGAAGCAAATAGTTCTGAAGCGTCCATCGGAGATTTTTGGTTTAAAAAACTTGATTTAAAAAACGCTTATAGCCAACTAGCCCTAGAAGACTTCAAAAGCAAAAAAAGGTAATTGTAGTATATATTTTTAGGTGGCGATATAACCAGCACCTTCTAAGTTTGAATTAGTTTTTACGGATTAGGAGATATGCTTCATGATGTTCAGTGTCAAAGACCCAATAATTTTTTTTACCAATTGTTACTAGAACGATGATTTAATTGCATCCGAAGAAGAATCTTGGGAAGAAATAAAAATTTTCAGTAAAATTTTATTGACCTAAGGTAATTACAGTCGCCGTTAAAAAGCCACAAAATAGTTTTTTCAAAAAGAAACAGAATGGCTAAATTTCAAAATTACCGAAACTGGAGTAATTGCGGTAATCGACCAAACTTAGACTATCAAGAATATTCAAAATCATATTTTTTTCCAAAATTACCTTTTTTTGGCTTCGCTAGTCAATATATGAAATTCGCTCTTAACATCTCAACACTGGGTAGCCCTATTAAACCGTTACTGAAAAAAAAATCTATATTCAGAAGAAACGAAATTTATACGTTCGCCTTAAAAAAAATCAAATAGAAGATCGTGAAATTAACCAAAAAATACTAATTTCGACGTAAATTTTCAAACTAGAGTAAACTGGGACACCTCACACAACGTTTTCGAGCCTCATTAGAACTATCACATGGGAAGAATGAAATAAATATATCATTCGCGTCAGAATTTTTAAGGCAAATCAAGACTCCAAATAATCCACTGATGGATTAAAATTACTAGGTGCAGTCTGAATAGTTGAATATTAAGAACATTACTCGTACAGTTCAGATTTTGGGGTTATTGCTGGCGTAAAACCTAAATTTCAGCAGTATCGTCAAATCAAAGTAATAAAACATACCACATTAGACTTGCACGTTGAGTAAGTACTACTACTACCTTTTAGTTTCCCGGTTAAACACCTAGCGGGCAAAGATATGGGCTTCAGGAACTTAATTTCAAAACATCGGTCGGATAAAGCTATCCAACCTTTATTTCAAAATTGTTAGTTGATTCTGCACACTTTTGATGTTTTGAAATTTACTTGGAAACAGAGACGGATGTGGAATTTTCTCGAGGGGGGGGGGATGGGCTCGGATTTTCATTTCAAAAACTTTT